ATCAATCCCATTGCGCCTTCAATTCCAGTGTTAGTTAGAATCTGCTTCCTATCTTTGTAGTCAACAAACCCATCAACATCATCTGTGCTATCAGTATCAGCAGCTACAATCGCAGGTTTTTTCTCTTCCAATTTTTCTTTATCTGCCGAGGAACCGAGCCATTGGGGTTTCGATGGAACAAACACAGTGGTCTGCTTCTCTTCAGCTGTTTCACTTGTTTTCTTTTCAGCTTCAGGCTTACTGTTTGTGTCCACTGAATCTTTAACCACATCTTTCTCCCTCTGCTCATCAGGATCAGTTGGTTCAAAAGGTAGACTGTTCTTCGCTTCTGCAGAAGGTTTTCCAGATTCCTTCAATTTTGGTTCTCGTGACTTCAACTCTTTTTTCTTAACCTCTTCTCCGGTTGGGTCAGCAATCTTTAGAAGGTACAATATCCTATCTAATTCTGACTGAAGAGCAGACAACTCTTGCTGGATCTGAGCAGTTTTATCTTGCACTGACACCAATAAGAAAATTCTAATTAATATCATTCACAAGTTTTTTCCCTAAAAGTGGGAATAAAAATATAAAGGATATAAAAAATGGAACAGTGGAATTACCAAGTGTAGAAGAAACCCCGGTCATGTATGCATCAAGGGAGTCTCCCGATGCAACCTCTGTGACATGCTCTGTCTCCATCTTATTCTTCTCTGCTGAAAGCTGTTCTTTCTTTTCTTCTATTTCTTTCAAGACTTTGTCTCTCTTATCAAGAAGAGAATCAACAGTTTCTACAGTTTGGTTTTCGCTGCCTTTCTGTGTTGATGGTTTCTTCTTGGTCCGATCATAGAAGTCATCTTCGTCACTGAAATAATACACAACATCCCAGTGAGGATCAGAACATAAACTATACTATTACATGAAGATGCAGATATAGAGATTGAAAACTTGAAGTACCTTAAGAAGTCTTCCTCATCTTCTGCAGTTCCTTTCTTCTTACCGTTGGGTTTTCTCCCTGTTTTCGCACCTAAACTTTCTCGGATACTGTCATTTAGTGTCTCCTCCAAGCTCTCAAGTTCTTCGAGAAGCTATAATACATATTATAGAAATGGAAAGTATAATCAGACATATGAACCAGCCATGCTTGAAACGAACTGGAGGCCAAACAAAGATTTTTGTAACCAAGATCAAAGATTGTCACAAGGACCCAGTTACCACTTCAGATTAACATAAAGGTTACCTCGGCTGTTCTCTGATCATTCCTGGCAATCTGCGTTTGTTGTCCTTGTGTTAATCCACCCTGAGAAATGTCTTTAGCTCGAATAGCAGCTACTTCCTTCTTCATATGGCCAATCTACACAGAAGCAAACATGCACATAAGGATGACGCAAAGTAGGCGTAGCCTATAAATTAAATTTAATGTCTATGATTATATTTATGAATGAAGGAAAATTGGAACAATCTAGAAACTAATTCAGATGCTAAAGGGTGAAACAAGCAGATTTAAAAGATAAATATAAAGTCTTGGTCGTTGCAAAGCATCAGATAAATATATGATTTGATCTGGCATCAGAAAAGAAAACTAACCTTCTCCAACCGTTTCAATACTTTCTCTTTAGTTTTTTCTTGCTTCGGTGTGAGTTCTCCTCTATATGTTTGCCATGTGATTTCTTCAACATCATCCTTCATGTCCAAACAGTAGAAGAGACACAGTCAGTCAGAAAGATTGATTTCATAAATCCTGGAAACCTGATACAATAAAGTCACCAACACCAACAGATAAAAAATTATGATTACCTCTTCTTCTTCAATAGCATCTTCCCCCATGCCCCATGAAACACCATCAGCCATCGATGCTTGCTGTCTTGCTCGCCGAAGTGAAGCTTCTCGTTCTGACATCTCCATTCGCAGCTTTGCTTCTCTGATCAATTGCAAGTCTTTCTCCTAAAAATCAAGACCAAAGCAAATTAAGGTACATCAGTAAATAAGGCTACATGCTATAAGAGTCAACGGAAGTCTCTCCACAGTTCTTTTGGTAATTTTCCCTAATAGCAGCATAGGAAAAAGAAATATAGATAGCAAGGACACATATAACCCCATTTAAACAGAATAGTTCAACTGAATTTAAGTGTTCAACGAATCTCTAATGTGTTAAGGATCCACATGATAAGGTGTGTGCAAAGATAGCCTCTTTTGATACTCGGACATGGATGGAGCACCAATGAAAAATCATATGAAAGATCAACCCAACAGCAGAAGCCAAAGAATATTCTAGACCAAGAACTCAATTGTGTAAAGTGAAATGTTTATCTTACCGGTGGCATTAACTCCGCGGGTCCTTGGAAAATGTAGAGACGAGTCGAACTGCGTAAGAAATAAAGGACAAACTCAGTAAAATTAAAGCAAACACAGATGGTGGTAATCATCATGAGCTTAACAGAAAGATTCACTCACCCGCCAAAGCGAATAACATCACCAACATGCAAATCCACAAAAACCCTTTTGTCCAGCTACAATAATCACAACACATCGATAAAACAATACCATAAGTCAGTTTACCAAAGCTCAATCAAGAGAATGAACCTACCGAAAATCCACCAAAAATACACACACCTTTTTCTTGTTAACAGACGTTCCATGAGTGCTGCCAAGATCAAATATATATGCAACTCCACTTCTCTTGTACTGAATAACTGGCAAATCATTACAAACAAATAAGAAGAGAGCAATCCAAATTAAAAAACATTAACAATCTGATATGGGCAGTAAGGTAATCACCAGCATGAAACCGGGAAATCGACGGATGCTCAAGAGAAAAATCACAGATACCGTCACGTCCAAACAAATAAGCTCCTTTCTCATGCCTGCATAGAGGAAAAAACATACGTTTTTCATATAGAACATATAAGAACTACATTACAATTCCTTCATATCCCAATCTCAACCCAAACAAGAACTCAAATCCCACAGAAATTAACAAGAGCTTACACGTCTAGTTGGTCGACAATGGCGCCTTCCTTGAGGACTTCAAGCTGAAATTTATGGCATGGAGGTCCACTCCACTCTGGAATAGTATACGGGACAGGATTCTGCTTCACGGCTCGAACACGAGATGGTTTATTCGCATCTACAGAGACGGAATCGTCCTTGGACACTTCCATTGGCTCGGGTTCAACTACTTCCTTTGCTTCGAGATCAGGTGGGTTAGGGTTTCTAGGAGGCGGAGGGTTCATTGACGAGACTTCCGCTGGAGCCGACGCCGAGGGCTCTTCTCTCTGAGAAACCGATGTAGTCTCTGGTTCAGGCTCCGGATCACGGCTAGGGTTTCGCGGCGGAGGAGGATCCATCGCCGATGTAGTCATGATTGCAGATTTAGAGAAGTTTCAGAAACTTCGGCCAACAAAGAGATCAACGAGGCGGCATGTGTA